GAGGAAACTGAAAACCCTGCACATTCTTTTTCTTCTTGATCACTCTATAAGGTTTGACACCATGTTTAACTGAATAAGACCTCACTGTATTAACTTTAGCTTCTTTCTTGACGCCGGTATTGTCAAATCCTTTTATCTTGCCATTCTTGATAGCTATTTCAATCATTTCTCCACTTATGATGATGTCAGAGAAATTATTAGGGATAACCCCTATCATGTGATTAATATAGGGAAATTTTAATGTACTGATGAACAAAATAACGAACTCTCTTTCAGTTAATGATGGATGCACTTGAAAAGCAATGTCCCTCCATCGTTGTGAATATTGTCGAAAGCTTTCATTGCACTTCATATTCATGTTTTGCAACATTGTTCGATTAGGGGCCATATCAACCATGTGCTTATATTGACCTAAAAAGCTTGAGATAAATCCCTCCAAGAACGTATTTGAGTAGGTTTTAGCTGATTACACCATTTGGATGTAGACCCAGATAAACTGTCTTGGAAACAGTGGATTAACAACTTTTCATTCTCCAAATAGCCAGTCATACGACGACAGTACATAGTGATATGATATGAATGGCAGGTGGTCCCATTATACTTCTCAAAATATGGAACTTTGAAATTTGGCGGGAGAATTAATTCGGGGACCAGACTCAGCTCTTTGGCGTCAAACCCATAAAATGACTCAATCATCTCTCTAGAAGCAGTACAAAATTCATTTGGCTTCAACCCAGAAGCAGTAGGACAATCATTGGGGAACGATGCTCCAGCTTGATATTGTGATTTCTTAACAGCAAAATGAATTGGTGATTGAATTTCCTTGTATACAGAGGTGTGCTCAGGAATGTGAACATGTGTAATACCCAAAGGATTTATGGGGTTTTCAACAAGATTTTTCCAGCGGTCTGGTGCTTTCCAATCATTTCTTTCATATTGTTTAGCAGATCGATATGAGAATTTGTGATATTAGCTTCAATTTGTGCCAACTTGCTCCTTAATTTTTCCTGTTTCTCTTTTTGCTCTATCTCAAATTTGGCTAGCCTATCCTCAGTTTCTTTAGACATTTTTCTTGTGTTGTGCTAAACGTTCTACAAGGAAGAATCAAGATCACTTCGGTTGAAATCCTTATTTTAATGGATGAATGTTTTAATGCATGATGTAAGTTTGAAACTATAGATGTAACTATGCAAATATGCAAATGCAAAAAAATGTAAATGTAAATACAAACATAAAAATGCAAATATGCAAATGCAAATGCATATATGAAAAGGTGTTACTCAAGAGTGATCATCTTAGAATAGATTTCATTGAACACAAAAGTTTTCGTGCATCAAACAAAACTTTTACATATAGGGGACAACTTTCAGTCCTAACAAAACTTTATATATAGGGGATAACTTTCTCATTTTCTTCTCTAAAGCCAAGTTAGTCTATCAGCTTATGGGCCATATTGCTTGTCTGGAATGCGGCTTCTTCCATGACATTCTCTTTTTCCTTCATCTTCTGTATCAGTTCTCAGAGTTTCTCATTTCCCTTGTAAGAGAACCTTTTTGTCCAAGAAGTTCTTGGACAAGATATTCATATATGTTGTAGCTCTTTTTCAGTTTGGTGACCCCTGTTATCCACTCTTCTGGAGTGTTTTCTATGCCAGCATTTTGAAAGGCTTAACTGATCTTTTGGAAATCTACATGCATGATTTCCACTTATGTGCTCAATTTCTTGTTTTGGTCCTTCAAATAACATGCTTGAGCTTCATAAAAACTACCTTTATTCTGAATGCCCTGACTGATGCCCTTACTATAGACTGCTTTTGGTATCAATCTGGCAGGATCTTTGTGGAGTACTTTTGGTACTAATATAACAGGATCTCTGTGTGCATTGCTCGCTTCTATCCTCGGAGTTTCCTCGGGATGTCTTTCCTTGGCCGCCTTATATTTTGTTTGATCATAAAACTTTTTGTCCATTTACGATTTCTTTCCAATTTGATGAACAGTCTTTCAAGTCAACACCTTTTGATTATGCTATGATCATGAAATGCAAACAAAGAAATTAATATAAACAAGTTAGAGTAAAATAATAAAAATGAAATAAGGAAGGAAAAAATGATTAGTAATTAATGGAAAGAAATTCTATCTAGCAAGGTATAAATCCTAACCTCATGCTTTCTAGTTCCATGCTTTGTTTGGAAAAATTAACCTAACTGCATGATTTCTAGTTCGTAGGTAATTAATCAAATAAATTAAAAAGATAGAAAGTTTAGAACTTATTTCTCCTTTGTGTACACCTACGAACAGAGGTTTAGTACAGTCTTTAGATCGGGTGAATTTCTAGGGTTTTATATGCAGGGTTTCAGTTCTAGGAGTAAAGGTACTCGAATAGTCTTTGTTGGTGCCCCCTTAGGCTGTCAAACCCTCAATCCTAGTCCATCACAGACTTAAGTAGATCGAGTTCAATTCGAGGGGACATATTTCTCTATGCCTGACACGGAGAATAAATTCTCACGAAGACATAGAGCATATGAACCCCGAAAGTTACTTGCTATGTCTGACATGAGATAAATTCTCACGAAGACGTCGCTTTCACTCCCACTTAAAAGGGACAAACTTGATTATAAAGCTATGTTATGCAATGTACGTATTGTGTGTGAGGAGAAATGTTCAAACCTTTAGCAAACAAATAAATAATGAAATTTAATACTTGAAAATAAAAAAATAATATACATATAAATATTATGAAAATAATAAGTATATATAAAAATTTTGAAAAGAAAGAATTACAAATTAAATATATGAATTTTTAATTTCTAATTAATAGAGACAATTTATAATTGATTTTAAAGCTTGACCAGTCCCCAGTGGAGTCGCCAAGCTGTCGTAACCAGTTTTCACCCGGGTACCAATTTTTACTTGGCGGGAAAAATAATGTGGATAAAAAATTGATTTTGATTTTAAAATAAAATTTTGGGAGTCGCCATTGACCTTCTTGGATTAGGTAGATCAAATACCTAAAATCATCTTTTAAAATAGTTTTTAAGAAAATATAATTTAAAAGATAAACTGATTTGCGTATAATAAAAAAAATATAAAAAAAGGATTTGTGGTCGATTACGTTTAGGAAATGATTAGCACCCCTATAACGCCCAAAATTGGTACTTATTAATTATAATTTGTCTTTATTATTGGGAATTTAAAAATTCAAAAATATATTTAATTCATAATCATGTTATTTCAAATTTATTAATATAATTTAAGAAAATATATTAATATATATATTTTTTTTTTATAAATAAGAAATTTATTTACTTAGAATATCAGAAAATGACTTCTAGATGCTTAAGACACCCATTTCTTAATATTAAAAATAAATAAATATAAAATATGATTATTTTTCTTAAAAGTAATTTATATAAAATTAAATTTTTAAATAGGATTTTGATTTAATATATATATAAATATAAAAATAAGTAAATAAATATTATTTTTTTATATACGTTTATATGACTACATAATAATAACAATAATAATTAAATATACAAACATATAAAATATAAATATAAAATAAACAATGACTAAAATAAATAAAATTAAAAAGTAATAAAACTTGTAAAATAAATGAAAGTATTAAAATTAGTGATTAAAATGTAAAATATTTAAACTTAGTGCTCTAATTCAAAATATTATGAAATATAATAATTAACAATGTAATTTAACCATATATATTTATTCGGGATTAAAATAAAAATTAATTAAATTAAAGGGACTAAATCTAGTATTTATCTTAAATATTTACTAAATATTAACAGGGACTAAAATAAAATAAAAGGAAAATTACGAGACCAAATTAAAAGGTTCAGAATTCAATTTCAGTGACTAAATCATAAAGATCACAAATTTGGAACACTGCGGATGAGGTTTTCCCATGAGAGAAATTACATAGATACCTCCCCAAAATGGCGTCGTTTGGGGAGGGGTTTAAATGCCCTTTTAACCGGCCCTTTAGGGCCAGATTTCTCATTTTATTTTTTCCTTCTCTCTCTAACAGAGAGAAACTCTCTGTCTTCTCTCTAAAAACTCCACCGGAGGGAGTTTGACGTCCGATCGACAGCCGTGTTCCGGCGCTAGTCACCATCGCGGGCCACCGTGAATGGTGGCCGAAAATTATAAAATACTCCCAAATCAAAGCTCTGTTTACCCTAAAGTCTGATTTAAGGTTGTTTTAACCTAAAAGCTTACCAAACGTCGTAGATCTGGTATAGTTTCCTTCGACGTTTTGGTTCTCTGGTGGCTCGTGGAAGCTCCTCGATGGTAAGTTTCTTCTCCGTTTCTTCTCTCTCTTTTCTGTTTGTTGTTTTGGTTGCTCTTGTTGCTGTGTTTTTTTTTGGGTTGCTGTCTATCCTTGTTACTCTCTATTTCTTGTTCTCTGTTGTCTGTCTTTTTTTTCTTTCCCAGGATCGGTGGCCTTTATAGGCCACCATGATACTGCTTTCAGACCTGGTCACGAAAAGGGGCTCTTCGATGAGTCACCGGACTATGGTGGTGACTCACCATAGAGCTGCAACGTGGAGGGGCAGCTGGCTTCGGGAATCTTCAGAAAAGGATTGGTGTGGCACTGGAGCGTCGGCAAGGCGGCTGGAGGCAGAGGTGGCGCCGCGTGGATGTTCTGGAAGCTTGGAGGCGGCTGGGATATAAACCTAGGGTTATGAAACCCTAGGGCTTCATTTACTGGAACCATCTGGACCGTTGGATCTAAGTTAGATCCAACGGCTGAGAAGCAAGGCAGCAGCTGGTTGAGATATAAACCCTATCTGGGTTTAGGGTTTCTTATTGGGTTTGGGCCGGTCTGGGTTGGTCTCTTGTAACTGGGCAGTCCAATTTTGGGTCTGTAATGTAAATAATAATAATAATAATAATAATATAATTATAAAATAATAGTAATAAATAAAATAATAATATAATAATAATAACAAATGGACGAAAAAATTAGTATCTTCAGTGTTGATGGAGAGATAGTTGGTCTTTTTGGAGTATTTGATGGTATATTCTATCTTACTCTTGTGTACCTTTCTCTGTCACACACACTCTTGCTAACATGCATGAAATGCATAACTTACTAACGGTTATGCATGGTTCACATGAACCATATAGGTAAATACTTTCTAACATCTGTGGTGATTATGTTTCTGTTTTAAAGAGTGTGTATGATTGATCACTGTTCTCCTAAGCTGTAGCCTTCCTTCAGTTCGTGATATTTTTTCTTTGTTCATGATCTCTTTTCTGTTTTAAAATTAAGCCTTACCCGGCAAGGCCTCCCCCCCCCCCCCTCTTAATCTTGTTCTAATCTGTATGCTCAAGTGATTAAGATTGCTGGACAATTAGTGTAGAAACCTATACGATCTTATAATGATACACTGTAGTCTCAACGCAGAGAATGTATCTGAAAAGATATTATGCAGATTCTGCTATTTGTTATCTGCTCCAATGTGATAGCAGTACTTTAAGCCATTTCTCAAGGGCTGTTATTGGCTCAGGATGGAATATTATCGTGGTAAACTATAAATTTATACTGAGGCGTTCATACTATTCTACTCTGCCATATGGTAGATGCTTTTACCATGTGACATTGAAAATCATATCTTTGCCGAGTAATGTAAAAATACAATTGCAGGTTATGTTTTAGTTGCAAATTGGTTAAACCAATCTTTACAAGCATGGTTGTTTCAGGTCATGGAGGTGTACGGGCTGCTGAATATGTGAAGCACCACCTTTTCAGTAATTTGATCAAGCATCCAAAGTTCATATCTGACACCAATCTGCTATAGGTTATTCACTTATAACTGTATCATATGGTTGTGACCTTTCTAGTGGTTGGCCATTTGTTAACTTGTCTTTAAAATTGTTTCCAACCTCCTGCTGATGCATACAACCACACAGACTCTGAATTTTTAAAATCAGAAAATAACCAGATTAGGGATGCTGGATCGACTACTTCAACGGCTATACTTGTTGGTGACCGTTTAATAGTTGCAAATGTTGGGGATTCCCGAGCTGTTATCTGCAGAGGAGGCAATGGTAACAGTCATAGTTTTTGTTTCTTTTATTTTCATCTCATCTCTACAACACATGAAGATGGCTTTGGTTTTACCTGGAACATGAAAAGGCTGATATTTTCTGTATAACTTTAAATGCAATAATAGAAAATCGCTCTCACCCATTTCTTGTACTTATGAAATTGTTTTTTTTAATCTTGTTAATGGATTATTTGATTACTGAATTGATTTTTTACATGCGGCTTGTCTATTGAATGTCCTCTTTCAGCTATTGCTGTGTCTCGTGATCACAAACCCGATCAAAGCGACAACGGATTGAGAATGCTGGAGGATTTGTCATATGGGCTGGTGCGGGTTTACATCTATCAATTTCTCTTTCGTGTCTTGCCACTCTCTTTTTTTTTTTTTAAGATCTGCTATGATGTGTTAAAATTCTTATTTTTATTGTGGCTGAAAATTATCTCTGTAGGAACTTGGAGAGTGGGAGGTGTTCTTGCAGTTTCTCGTGCATTTGGTGACAGCACCGATGCAGGGAGATACGAGACAGATGATGTTGAGCTGTCAGATTGCACATTGATGGCGCTGAGATACCATGAATTGACAGATTAGCGTAAAGGCGGGAGTTGATATATGTTACTCATTGGGACCGTTTTGAGTGCGTTTCAGTCTTTTGGCCATAACTTTGGCTACAGGTGTCGGAATCGCGCATAAGACCCCAATTCGAAAAGCCCATTTCAACGCGCACTCTATCCACATTGAGCATGGCTCCATGTGACCTTTTTTACCTCAAATTCTGCCGTTTTCCCCTCTGAATCACTAGTTTTATTTATTTTTTACTATTTATGGTAATATTTCGCTTGTCAGTTAGGAAGTCTTTTTAAATTCGATTTGTGCCAGATTTTTTGCAGATTGCTTAATTTTTTTTGAATTTCAATTTAGAGTGATTTCCGAGATTTTGCTATCTTTGGTAAAATTTGGATAAAGACGATTTTTAACTATAACAGTCCGGCTTGTGGACTGATTTTCGCATTGTTTGATTTTATATTATTCTATTAAACCCTAGAGACTTTTTCTTGGTTTTTGACGAATTTTCTCCTGTGAATCATTTGTTGGAACTAGTCTACAGTATAATCGCTATTCTGTCCGACGTTAGGCACTTAAAGCAGTATGTTGTTGCTGATCCAGAAATTCAGGTCTGGTTGGAAGATTTCATTGAAATAAGCTTGAGTTCCTGAGATGTAAATCATACATCATAATTATATAGAAATCTCTAAAGCACAAACCCAGCATGAAAACTCTATAGGATTCCTGATGATATTAATTTATATGGTATTAAATTTTCATTTTGTACTAGGATTTCTATTGATTTTTTATGGTTTTGTAAGCTGATCTCACTTTTTGAGGTTGCAGGAGGAAAAAATTGACAGCTCTCTTGAGTTCCTTATACTTGCAAGTGATGGGCTGTGGGATGCTGTATCGAATGAGGTAGGAAACAGTTTGTTTACTTAAAGCCTTGTCGTTGAAGAAAATTAGTTAATAACTGCATCTTTGTCTTTTATCAGGAGGCGGTGGCAATTGTAAATCCTATACAGGATCCTGAGCAAGCAGCAAAGCAGCTGATGCAAGAGGCATCCCAGAGGGGTAGCTCAGATAACATCACTTGTGTTGTGGTCCGTTTCTTGGTCAATCAAGGAGGTCCTTCTTGCAATCCTTCTGCCAACCAAAGAGGTTCTCCCCATTCTCGCAATGTTTCTGCCATTCAAGGCGGTTCTTCTTGCAATTTTTCTGCCATTCAAGTAGGTTCTCCTCGCAATGTTACTGCCAATCAAGGAGGTCCTCCTCTCAATGCTTCTGTCAATCAAGGCGGTTCTTCTCGCAATGTTTCTGCGTAAGCAAAACATAACCCTTGCAACCCATGGTTCTAGGTTTTGGTTCTCCAGCAGATTGAAAACTGATATTAAATGAAGTTCAATAGTAATAGCTAGTCAAAGAAAACTATAGAGTACGGATGTTTATAAGGAGAGAAACACGAAAAAAAAATTGTGTAGGCTACTGATGTACATTACATCTGTTGCAGAAACGATGTGCGGTTGTAAAAGGGCTTCGAAGTCTTAAAAGTCCACTCATGTATGTGAATGTAGTAAAGTTATATGTATGTATGGTAAATGATTCAATCAAACTCTCATTCCATCTCTAAAATTTTATATTTTTATAACTGAAGTTCTCTTTTCTTTTTTCTCTTTAACTAAAAAAGAAAACAAAAACAGAAAAAATGACATGAAAATTGATAACCAAGCAAGTGCATAAGACGACAACAGTTAAAAAGAAACCACCAAAATGGCTTTTGAATGACACCTATGCGTGGTGTACACGTGGAAGTCAGCTTCAGGCCTTGTCTCCCTAAAGACCCATTTTTGTTCAACTATTCACTCCCAATATTCAACCCATTGACTGCAGTTTTTGACTTCGACATGACTCAGGGTATCAAAGGGAGTGAAGAGATGAACAATGCAAGTCATTTGTTACAAGGTTAACATTAATTGTTACCCGCTAGTTAAATTTGAATAAATCATAATAAAACTTAGGGTAAAGTACACTAATGATCCCTCAATTATAGGATATTATTTTGTTAACTCATTTAACTATTAAAAGTTATAAAATGATTATTCAACTATTCATATGTTCCAAACTCGTTCTTTTTCATTAAAAAATTAACGATCGTTTGAACTGGTGTTAACATGCTGACTACTGGAATATAATATACGTTTGAGATTTTGAGATTAAGGGTCTGTTTGTTTCCCGTAATTCGAATTACGGAATTGGTTTTCCCCGAATTTCAGTGTTTGTTTCACGTAATTCGTTTTACGGAAAATGTTTTCCCGTGTTTGTTTCACGTAATTCGTTTTCCGGAAAACGTTTTCCCGTGTTTGTTTCACGTAATTCGTTTTCCGGAATGTAATTCATTTTCCTAGTAACAGGATTTCCTTTGTGTTTTCTGTAAAATGACTTACGGATTCATTTTCCGTAAGTCATTTTCCGAACTTTTCACTTCAAAGCAAAAATACTCAAAATAATTTTATTTTATGAATTTAATATTAATAAATATTTTAATATATTTTCATCAAATATTAATTATTAAATATTTAAAATATTTATTAATATTTATAATAATATAATATAATATTTTAATATTATATAAAATAATCAATTATTATAATAATATAAGATATATTTATATAATATAATAAATTTTTTTTATATATTTAATAATGAATAATATTATTTATATATTTCAATAATATTTTAGTAAAGATATTAAAATATACTAATTAATATTTTAAATATAATATAGTACTATTACTTTAATAAATAATTTATATAAATTTATAAAATTTTATTTCACTAAATATACCGAAAAAATGTTTAAATAACATCTTCCAAACACATAAAACGTTTTCCAGATGTTTCCAGAAATGTAATTCATTTTCCAGAAATGTAATTCATTTTACAGAAATGTAATTCATTTTTCAGAATTCAAATTTCAGTAATTCATTTTCCAGTAATTCAAATTCCAATAATTCATTTTCTGGAAAACCAATTACAGCTAAACAAACAGACCCTAAATTTCATCATATCTCAGTATGCAGGTTAACGTTCAGCTCAGACTACAATCAACGAAAAAAGACGAGTTTAGAGCATATGAATAGTCGGGTGACCATTTTGTAACTTTCAATAGTCGAGGAACTCAACAAAGCAACACCCTATAGTTAGAGGACTATTTTATAACTTTTAATAGTCATGAGACTCAATAAAATAACCCCTATAATCTAGAGGTCATTCGTGTATTTTATCCTAAAATTTAATCACCAATTCTTATCAATTATCAATTGATTTAATTATACAAGATGTTAGATATTTTAAACAAAAATTAGAATATAAAATCTTGATTTTCTTACTGTTAAAAAGAAGGTTAGATTAAAAAATTAATTTTGTAATAGATCTTTGCAAGATTAAACTAGAATTAATAAATTAGATAAAAAAATTCAAGTACAGTTAATAACGAAGCGATTGTTTTGAAGAGAGTGAAAATCAAAGTGCTAGTATTTTTGTTTTCCTTCTTCAACCATGTTACCTTCATATCTCAATTTCCTCTTGCTAATTAGAGTTTAAGACAAATGAAACAGTCCCAATAATTAAAGGAAAAAAGAAATAAAACAAGAGAAATGGATGTGAAAGAGCAAGGGGAAAAGAAAGGTTTTTCTTGGCCTGGTCCAACGGTCAGGGTTATTTTTATAAGCACCCAATGCTCCAATGGAGTGACAGATTTTGATACCCACCTTTTAAAAGTTCCTTAAATTACGACCTTCATCATCATCATCCATGGTTTTCGTTTAAACCCTAAACAGAAAGTGGGTGGAATAAAAGAAAACGCCGCTGATTACAACACAAGGAAAAACTGTACAAAACAATGGTAAAGATAAGTGGCTGGATTACACCACCACCTCCTTCTTCACCTACTTATATACACAACATAAACATTCATCTGCAAAATAACACCTTGAAGACCCATAATCCCTCGGGACAAAAAGCATTTACCAGTCAAGTAAAGCAAAAGCACTTGAGAATTGAAGTTTCAAAATTTAACATGAAAAATATTATTACCGAGGGGGTTAACTTTAAAACGACGGGACGACTCCAAATCCATACGTGTTACTGCCATCGACTTCGACTTCTATGTCCGTACGCTTCGCGAACCTTCCTTTGATCCTAGGCCGCATCTCTGCGTACGCCTTTCTGGAGGCGTAACGGATCGTCTTCTCGAATTTTCTGTTCTTTCTCTTCTCTCTGTACCTTAGTATCCTCGATTCTCTGTCCGCCGGTGATAGCTGCAACACCGTCTGATCTATTGACTCAGTCCCTTTGCTGCACGGATTTGATATGTCCGTCATCGTGCTTCCATCTGGGACCACCACAACATCCAACGATGATGATGATACCTGCAAATCCATACCAGAAAACAAAATTCTAATTCCAATTCAAAAATAATCACGAGATTTTCAAAGCTCTTTTGCTTACACTGTCACTAATGAAGTTTGGGTTGTTGCCAAAAGTGAAGGGTTTGGATCCGGAGAAATCCAAGTCGAAGCAGCGATAGTTTACCGACGGAGCTTGAACTCTCTTGATTTGAACAGGGACCACTCCGTCAGTTCCAGTGCTGTTCTGCTCTTGGGGCTTCAGTTTCGAATCACCATGCCCGTAATCCAGATACGGGCCCATCTCCGGGAACACGTACTGCCCCGTGTTCACGTCCGGGCTGTCCACGACCTTATGATTAGGGTTGGGAAGCAGCCACGAGGCCGCCTCAGCTTCCTCCCTGCTGAAGTCAGCGTCTCCGTCACCGTCTGAGAAGTAACGCTCGTCCAGAAAGTTAACGACCCCGTTGGGCTTAACGGCCGGGACTGAGTTGACGGAGTCACAGACGGGGGTTACGGGGACGCGCTCGTGTCGGCGAGCGAGAGGGTTGGCGGAGTGGATGTCACGGTCACAAGTGACGCAGAGAGCGGCGGCATCTGCCTTGCAGGTGACGTGAGCAGGTGCTTTCTCGCATACTTCACACACCCAAACTCGTTCGTGACGCGAGGCGAGCTTGTTGGCGGCATGGATCTTGGAGTCACAGTTGGAGCATAGAAACGCCGAGTCAGCACGGCAGAAAAGAGTGGCCGTCGCTGAATTGCAGGAATCACACAACTTGGACGCCATTTCGACAATTCGCTTGGTTCAAAGTTCCCTTCCTTTTTCCTCTTCTCTCTTTCTTAACATGGGTGCGTTGAATCCTTCTGAGTGCAGCTCTCTTGAAAGTAAATTCGATGGGTTAAAAGTAACGGGGTTTGTTCTATAATAATGATAACTGCGTCTCGGGGATAACGGAAATTCAAGCATACGTAATATTCTTTGTCTTAAAAGTAAATATTATTTTAATACATAAAATAACAACAACAATTATAATAATAATATTATTATTAAAAAATTATCAATTCTTTTAAGAGAATATTACGCAGAGCTATCCATCGAATAGTTGATCTTTGTTATGTTCAATATTATGTTCTCTTATTGTTAAGAGTTATTGCATATTGGAAGCATACAAAATATTGTTATATCCTTGGAAGATATGAGAGATAAAATATTGAGTTAAAATAATACACATATATTGAGAATAGTTTATATCTATTAAGGATCAACGATTAATTATAATGTGGACAAATATTTTAATAGATGTATTATCTTCTATAATAGAACAGATGTATTATCTATAATATAATAGTTATTTTATAAAAACATTAGATAAATAATACAAATATAAAATAATTTTAAAAATAGTTACCGTGCCTTTGGAAAATTTTGGTAATGAGAAAAAATGGGAGAGTTGGTGTCAATTTGGCTGCGTTAAGTTGTGACGACGCGTGTTCGAGGAGTCTCTCTAGTGGGCCAGGAGTCACCAATCAGAAAGAAACATGTGGAAGAGGCTTAGCCGAAAGAGGGACGATCTTAATTCGGTTTGGAAATTTGTGGGAGGCGAGGAGAGAGTTGTCATTTTCAATTGGTAAGGCGGGGCCCATGCCTTGCTTCGTACAGAGTTGTAGTTTTGTAGCAGTAGAGAAGAAGGCTTCTCCGCTTTTAGGGTTCGTAAATAATGGGTTCAAATCCTTTAAAGCTCGGTCCTGTATTATTTTCAGATTTTAATATAGTTATAGTACTTTATTTTTGTCACATTGAGTCCGTATTTAATTTTTAATTTACAATTTTGATATTTTCTCTAAGTTTTGTTTATTTTGTAATTAATTATTGACCTAATAACTATAAAAAGAAGATATATACTTTTTAATCCTTTTATGTTAATTTTTTTTATAAAATTAACCTTTAAAACTGTAAAAGTGGAGACTGAAAATTTATATTATTCAATAATTTTTTTTAATATTTCTTTATATATTAAGGATCAATTTGAAAAAAATATAAAAATAAGTGACTTTTTTTTGCTTAAAATAACAAATTTTACACCATTAATTAATTGTAAAATTAAAAGTTAAAAAAATGTAAATTTAAATTAACAAGTGCGCTGTAATCACATCTATGTATTAAAAGTATTGTGTAAATGAATAAAGTGAATTGCCCGTCCAGCTCAGTTGGTAAGAGCGCAAGATTGTCGGAGGTCTCCCACGGAAGTGCTCTCAACCTGGCGTTGGGGGCAACCTACTATCCTACCTCCCCCTTACCCCATTACATATGGGAATAGGGTCAGCTATTTTTTTTTTTGTAAATGAATAAAGTGTTTGATATATTGTTTGTGAATTGTTTGTATAACGTTTGTTTATTAAGCTAAATAAACGAGTATGAATAAAAATTTTATGTTCATTTAATAAACGAACGAACAAGAACAAATGTGTGTTCGGTTTATTTTTGTTCACGAACAAGCTTGTTTATCGACTTGTTTATAAGTTTGGTTATTGGTTTGTTTGTTTATGTTCATGAACAAGCTCGTTTAGAAACTTGTTTTTTTTATATTTTAAATATTGGTGAATGTATGGATTAAATTGAACATATGGTAAAATTTAGAGGTAAAACTATGAAGCTTAAGGAGTTTAAGTACTAATAGTGTAATTTTATCACGTTTAGCTTGCAAATGAACATGTTCGCAAACATATAAACGAATACTAAATAAATATGTTCGTGAACGCTAAACAAACAAACACGAACACAATCTTATTCGTTCAAACTCAATTCATTCACACCCCTAACTAAAAGCAAATTTTTTTCAATGTTTTAAAAGCATTGTTTGGAACGATGTTAGAGAGAATATAACATGGAGCGTAAACAATGGGAAGAGCACGAATTTTTGGCGAGACCCTTGGATCAAAGGTTTGGATTCCCTCATATCGTACGGCCAACCACAGAGCATCCACACTTTAGGGACGGAAACAGTATCGACATGGCAAACAATACTGGCAGTTGGCTATGGGATAAGTTCCTACACCTGCTGCCCCTTGACATAAGGTTACACATAGCAGCCATAAAGGGACCTTTAAGATCATTCATGGACGACGGTGCAAGATGGAAATTAACCTCGGATCTCCAATTCTCAATCAAATCAGTATACAAACTCCGGTATGACTTGTATGTGCAGAATGATGAAGCCCTATGAAAGTCGATACACAAGTTTAGAGGTTTGCAAAAGATCAAAACTTTTTTATGGCTCGCTTGCAACAACAAGATAATGACTAATGTGGAAAGGGTAAAAAGGCATCTCTCATCGGATGATAGATGCCCCGTTTTTGGGAAAGCACCAGAGGACATTAACCACACGTTAAGGTGGTGCCCTCAAGCAATGGGAGTCTGGGTCACCTTAATAAAGGCTGAAAAATTCGAGGAATTCCAATTCATGAAATTCAAATCCTGGATTCGAGTGAATCTCAACATCCCTAACTATTTCATAAGGGATATTGAAGAATGGGAGGTCCTCTTCGGTTCGATCTGCTGGAACCTATGGTTGAACAGAAACACTACAGCCTTTGATTCACCGATGGAAAGATGGGGAACAATATTAGAAAGAAGCCGCATGCTACAGGAAATTAGCTCAAGGAAAAATCTAGCCTCCATAGGAGACTCAAAAACCAGTAGCATCGAAAGACAAGAGCAGCAGACTTTAACCCGGACACATCCAGTATCCACCATCGGAATGTGCAAAAGTAAACACGGATGGGAGCCACAACGAACGATGGGTTATGGGATTCTACAAATTCATCGGTTTATGCTCAGTGATAGAGGCTGAACTGTGGGGAGCCAATACGGGATTGTCAAGTGCATGGGAATTAGGACTCAAGCAGATTGAAGTACAGATGAATAGCCTAGAAGCGATTCGCCTCTTGGAAACCAGCGAGAAACACCAAGGACAGTACTCGATAATCTCACACATACGAGAGCTTGTAGATAAGGACTGGATGGTACAATTCCATTACGTTCAAAGAGACCGGAATAGAGTGGCCGATGCCTTAGCCAAAATGGCAAAACCAGAGGACATAGAGGTGCACTACCTCCCCAGACCGCCGTCAACAATATGCGGTTTACTCCAGAATGAGAGTGACTGAAGTTTGTTTAGCTTTTTAGGCTAGTCTCTTTATTTACCAAGAAAAAAAAAACATGTTAATTTACTTTTAACTTTGAAATGTCAATTTATATATATAGTAAGACTTTTTATAACAAAAAATTTAACATTTTTTGTAAAACTAAAATATTTTGTTTCTAGGGTAATTGAATCTCTTAATTAATTATACCAACATATAATAATATTAGACTTTTCACGCATGGAATTGAGATACTTTCAAGAACATTACGGATAAGTAGGGTCTTTTACTAGCTATCGTCGCAAGTTGTCAGTCTCCATCATCCTTTGATCGGGCAAAAATTCAAGTCCTCACAAAAGCTGATGCGAGAATTGATACGATGGTTGAATTGAAGGTTGGTGACAACTTCTTCAAGGTCATGGTGCATGAGATAGAGCCTTCATTCAAACCGAATTCTTGGGCTACTAAAGAAGACGAGTCTCTTTAGATCTTGTCTCTTCATTCGTGGTTTTGTTTTAGTCTATATGATTGTAGGTGTTGCTTTTATTTGTATTATGTTTTGTGGCGTTGTTTTAGTCCTACTGCTAGTGGTGTAATTAGTAGTATGGTGATTTGATTGTGGCTTTAGATGAGGGTATTTGAGGTTTAGGTGTTTATTGTAATGGGGTATATCACCATGAGAGGATATTCCGTGGTGTCTTTTGTATCGGGTATTATTATTAATAAAATATGAGGTACTTTTTTCTTCCTTCCAATGTTCGTTAACATACTTTTAGTATGGGAACGAATATGAAGGGAGTTTTTAATGAGACCTCTAACTTCTATCAAAAAAATAATAATATTAGACTCAAGAAATTTGAACGAAATTAAGTAATTTAATATTTGTAGATCTCATTATTATGATGAGGATGAGGAAAATGATAGGCTATGAAATTTCTTGTTAGTTTCCCGTTCCGACGAGTTATGGCAATGCATTTGTATTTTAGCTATAAAATCCTCAGTCAATTAGAACATACCTAAGACCCAATTGAGATTTATATAAAAATTTACAAATTACCTAATGACTCAATTAAAAGAATGTTGGGAACACGAAATCCATATAGCTATTAAAGGCTCGACTTGGGTTGGTATTTTTTAAGAGAAATTTGAATATAAGAGTTAGTCACCGACCTATTAAAAGATTGTTGTTTTTTCTTAAGGTTCTGAGTTTGAACATCGTTGATTAAGTTGTTATTTCTTGATTTCCCAAATTTGAACATTGTGCATGCATAAGTATGAGCATTAATTGTCAAATAGTTAAATTTTTTTAAATAGATATACCTTATATTCACCTCATAATTATAATAATTATAAAAATAAGAGTTAGTCATTATAGTCTAATCATATACTTGAATTTAATTATTTGCTCACATTGATACTTGAAATTGATTTTATAGTACATACTTAATAGTTTTTTTTACCTAATTAGTTATCTGAAACTGATTTTTTTAGATCGATGCCTAAATTTGACTTTTAGGTTTAATATATTACTTGTAATTTTTTTGTTCAATTAGTTATTACATTTGAAATAAGAAGATTTAATTTTACAAAATTTAAAAAATTACATGAATTCGTCTAAATCTGTTAATTTGAACAATAAATAAATAAATAAATCAAGTTCAGATACCCAATTGGATAAAGAAAATTAGAAGTACCAAATTAAACTAAGAAGACAAATTTAGGTACCGATTTTAAGCCAAAAACTCAAGTTGATACACCTAATTGTACAACCTTTCAAAAAGCACCCTTCAATTTTCCGAATTCCGAACCAAGTTTAAAACACCATCTATTATCAATTCAAATTGTACAATCACAACCTAAGAAAATGAAATCACATGCCAACTATTACTTAACCACCTCCAGATTTGAGCGTGTTACTTAACCTGCATAACAATTTTATCATATCATATGGAACCTCAATAAAACATCAGCAACAAGTAATATCAGTAACATAAAAGATTACAAGTGCTGTGCCTGTACATGGCATCATGAGGAAATTTATTCTTTATGATCTCATTAATATTATGATGTTGTGAAATGATATGCGTTCACATCGATACCTAATTTGATGAAACATCTATGACAGATTATTGTTCATGTTGCTTTCAAATTTCCCTAGTTTTTTTCCCTCCGTGCAAGATGGAATCACAAATGCATAACCTTAAATCGGCAACACCCACAAAAGTTCCTATAAAAACCAATTTCTCAATATAAACTAAACTCTTATTAGTACTAAGCATCTCTCATGACCAGAGGCCAGACCAGACATAAAGTTCTTATATAGTTGTATGGCAACGAAAACTATTGAGTAACCAGAGATAAACAAATGCCACAAATGTTTGACTTGACAGAACCTTACTTACCAGTCCATGCCCTCGAAAGTCCTTCACCCTTTACTGCACATGTTTTAAATATTGCCCACTGACGACTTTTTAATTTGTGCATCTCCAAAGCATCGGTCACAGCAGCAGCATCAAGTGCACCAGGTAGATCCTGCTCATTCAAACACAGTGTTTACGATTTGAAAAGATTTTGAAAACCTTGCATTATCCACAGTGATAAACAATTTGTTACGACAACTTTTCCAGCTTTGAATGGTATAGCATAGGGCAGTTATAGTGTTCACCTGCTTGTTTGCGAAAATTAGAACTATTGCACATCCTCCTGCTCAACAGTTTAATGATAAGTGTCAGCATCTACCATATGACATTAAAGGAGTTCATCAGGAGTTGAGGGAAATCTGACTAGCCATAGGAATACCTCTAAAATGGCATGAAATTCTTCTTTGGCTATTCCAATTCTATCAGTGTCACTTGAATCGACAACGTAAATTATTGCTTGTGTATTTGGGAAATAACATCTCCAGTATGGCCTGTAGCAGATATAAAAAGAAAAGTGGAAGATGAGTGTTGAAGTCAATCGGTGAGTTCATTGCAAAATGAACAGTACATTTCCCGATAAAAGCACTAAAATGATCCACAAAGAAAGCAAATTGGAAATGAAAGATTCCAAAAAGCAGAAAACAGAACATCCAATTGAGGAAATAAGGGAAAAGATTCTAAATCTTCTCTTATATACCTCATTGTTTCAATTAAAGAGCAGCACAAAAAACCCACAAAATACCCGCATTTCAAATGAAGTAAACAAAGGAAGTAAAGTAACTCAGAGGTTATATATCCTTAGTTAAGGCTACTTTAACTAATCACTTGAAAAATCTTATCCAAACTAAATGTAATCGGATGTCTTCTCGAGAAAACAAAGCTTGAAAGCAGTTACCTGATGCTTGTCTGGCCACCTGTTAAAATAGAAAGTACATTTAATTAACCAACAAATTGGTTAAACTGAAATGTTGAAAAACGTTGGAAAGGCTTAGAGAAATTACATAAAAGATTGAAACATACGAAAGGTGATAAATGAATGTTAGAACTTAGAACTTTGAAAAGCTAAAAAAGTGATGTGCAAAACAGAGCTACATATCGAAACTCAACAATTGAAATACTTGTAAATTTATCAAGTAAGAAACATGAAGCCGAAAAACTTATTCTGCAATAGTATTATATTATTCGAAGTGTAACTAAACTTCCTAAAGGCTTTGTAGCAAATGCCAATGCAAGCAGGTAGGCCTGTAAATGAACTGAACGTTCAGCGAACCGTTCATGAACCGTGCGGCGGGAAATTCGTTTATGTTCGTTTATTTATTAAATGAACGAACATGAACAAGATTTTGCGTTCGTTTAATTAAATGAACGAACACGAACAAAGGGCTCGTTCGTTCATTTACGTTCATGAAGTTTCGATTATATGTTCGTTTATGTTCGTTCATTTATGTTAATTTATGTTCGAACAGAGGGCAAGTTGAATATGTTACGAAGATTATTGAAGTTGTTTGGATTTCAAGAAAACTGTTTTGTTGAACAAATTAACTTTAAGACTTTATTATGTTCATATAGCTTATTTATGATTTATGTATGTTTTTGTCGTATTCGAACAAATTAACTCTAAAGTTGCAGGTTATATGAATGAATTTTAAGTTGTTATTCTTGTTGTTTACTTTTTTTTACATTCATTTGTTGTGTTCGAATAAGTTTGTTTTTTGTGTTTGTGTCGTTTATATTCGTTTATTGTGTTTGTTTATGTTTATTTATTATGTTCGTTCGTTTGTGTTCGTTTACGTTTGTTTATCATTTAAATGAACAAACATAAACGAACATGAACAAAAAAAATTTGTTCGTTTATGTTCGGTTCGTTTACAGGCCTACAAGCAGGCCAACCAGATAACTATGGGTCAAAATGAAATTCAATGGTTCAATTGTAACTTGTAAGTAAACAATTAAAACCAAATTCCAATGATCAATCAAATTGAACTTCCATTCGTATAGAATAGGGAATATTCTAAAAGGATTTAAGGCTGAGCATACCGTTTCGTACAGCTACTAATATACTACCAAAATTTATCAGTTCCCCACATCATGCTTCTAATTTATTAACGGTAACTTACCTAAATCCCATACTTGAAATTTGATGTTGTTGTATTGTACAGTTTCTACATTAAACCCAATCGCTGGAAAAGAAGCCCCTTAAAACCCAGAATAATAATACTAATAAGAAAGGTATTGAATGAGTAGGTGGCAAAATCAAACCCACTTGGAATTGTAGAGACTACCTCACCCATCTGAAGCCGATCTGTCGGAAGATAACCGAAACAATACAAATTACCCAGAATCACAAAATAAAGGGAAAACAAATTCAAAAGCGATATGTATGTTTAGAAAAGATCGAAATGTTACAGAGAATAGTAGTTTTGCCGGCATTGTCAAGGCCGAGTACGAGGATTCGAGCTTCTCTGTTCCCGAATAGAGAGGAGAACATCCGAGTAAAAACAATAGCCATTTTTCCCCAATTGATTCCTTCAGCAATTACTGCCACTAATCACCACTCTATTTTAGTAGTGCGTAGTGAGTAGCATTTCCCTTGGGATAAATATGTGTTTTGATCCATCAACTTACCTCAGGTGTAATTTTATACCTGCTTTTTTAGTATAATTAAATATTTTAATTTGATTTTAAGATTCTATATAATATTCAAATTCTTTTTATTTCAATTAAGTGTTCCATTTAAATTAATTTAAATAAGTTATTGATTGCAGTATTAATTTAAATTAAGAAAATAAAATTTAAATATTATTTTGAGCTCATAAATTAAGTTTAGATACATAATTGAGGAAAAATAAATTTGAATACTAAATAAATCTTAAAAGATTCACATACCAACTATGTATTTAAGATCAAGTTTGAAAAATTATTTTTAAAATCACGTAATATTAATTAATTAAAAATAATGCATCAATTAAAAATTTACTGAAGTTGAATTTTTAAAATAATATATATTATGGTTTTCAAATTCAAATATTAATTAGATACTTAAAATTAAGTTCTGGGGTTAAATATATATAAAAAAATAAATACTTGATAATAAATTTAAAAGATAGAATATGCATTAACTCATAAAATAATTCAGTAGCAGACCTTCAAATGGAAAAGCGTCGACGGACAAAATGAACCTAACTAAAAGAAAACCCCATTTGATATACGCCTCATGAATGCCTTAACTCTTGTGCCCATCTAAGGGCCGAATCGAAGAAAGAATACCCGAGCCCGGAGGTTTGTTATTGACAACCGAGCTATGGTTGATCCATTCAATTTTATTAATCACTCATTTTTTAAACTAATTCAAAATTAACTAATATTTAATAATTTGTTGGTGTAATTCATAACGAATTAGGTTATATCATTTTATTAAATATTTGATTTTTTTTGTCAATCTTTAATAAATTAGTAAGTTAAGTTTTATCACTCGTATATGTTTTTTTATATATTGATAATGTACTAATATAAATTCAATTCAAGAATATTTTGTTATTTATTAGTATTTTAATAATTTGAAAAGGAACTTAAGAAAAAAATAGAATGGATTGTCTAAAAATCATATTTATGAAAGAATACTCTTTCATTTCAGATTACCCTAAAATAGTGTCTATATGACAAATTATTAAAGTGGGAGACGTTTCTCGTCATTTATGAAGCTTGCGTCTCTCTGTTCCACGTAGCAGCTAGAATCCACAATACTTGAAAATCGCATACTGCACTAATCAGGTGCATACTAAAATATCTCAACTTTGGAAATTGCGAAATAGTAAAATATTGAGTTATTTTTAACCACACAGATGGAGGCGTCGAGTCGCCGCGCAGCTGGAAAACTCCCCCCCCCTCCCAGCCCCTTGATTACTTGTCCCGTCACTTGTCTCCTGCAGTCCTGCTTGCTAGAGAAAACTGCTGACTTGTAATGCAATTGCATACTTTGTGAATCAACGTCCCTTTGCCCTTCCTCTTCAGTTTTCCTTTAACAGCGCTAAAACTATAACTCTTTTGAGGAATACGTGCTTTTGATTTCGAGTCACTTTTCTTTCCTTCCTTGATTCCACTATTTATAATTCATAAAAAAAAGGATCATTATTCCCATCATATTTTTATATCACATATCACTTCTTTTTTTCCTCTTGTTTCTCAGCCGATTTGTGCTTAGCAAATACACCACCAGGGACTTGAGTTTGCTTTGTTTATGGAATTTAGATGTGATTTGGGAAGAGAACTTGAGCCTTTCTCATCAAAATTTACATTTTCCGACTATCATAATCGATTAAAAAAAATGTGGAAGAAGAAAGGAAAAATAAAAAACAGTAAAAAATCTCACTCTCTCCAAAGAGAGACCAAACTAAAAAATTAAGAAAAGAAACTAAGAACTAAGCTCACCGGTTTAATTTTAGTCAGGGGTTGTTTGGCTGTCATGGTTCTCGTGGTTTTCAGAGTTATCTGTTATAGTTGGCAATCGTTCATCATCGTCCCTGCCCATCTCTTCTTTCACTTTCTCACCGTTTACAGGTTTCTCCGGTCCTTCATTTTCGTCAGGCTTACCATATTTAACACCGAACGAGGAAGTTTTAGTGCATACAGGGGTAGCCAAGAACGTGGGCTTCTCCTCGCCAGCCATTATAACCAGAATTTTCTCCTCATAAACCTTCACTGGCTTGGTTGATTCACCTTCATTTTCACATCTTTCTACATCCCTTTCGGCGTCACCGCCTTCACCGTGGTTGTTCAAACGACCGGAAAGTCGCCAGTAGGAGCAAGCTAAGTTCAAGAGAGCAAAAGCAATGAGACCCAGCATCGCTGCTAGGCCTCCAAATAGGTATGGCACGGGTGAGTTCCATGGAGAGCGAGGTTGCGCCATTGCCGGCGGTGACAATGAGGGCATAGTTGATGCTTCTACTGTGTTACCGCTGCTAATAGGCCTCATATTTAATGTTTCTTTATAGACTTCGATTTGTTGTTAATGGATAAAGGTGGTTGTTTGGTTGAGGTAGAGGAGGAGAAGAAGAAGGGTGTGAACCTACAAAGCCGAGAAGGCAATGACTGTTATTTATAAGTAGGGAAAGTGAGGGAACTCAAAAATTAAGTTATATATATATATATATATATATAAAATTAAACATGCTATTGATTAGGTTGGAGTAGGGGTGTAAACGAGTCGAGTCGAGATCGAGTAGTTCTGAGCTCGACTTGACTCGAAAACTCTAAAATGAAATTCGATTCGACTCGAAAACTCGCGAGTTTAAAATTTTTAAGCTCGACTCGACTCGAACTCGAAATCCTGAACTGAAGCTCGTGAGCAGTTAGAAAATGCTCGAAATGAAGAAAAAAAATTCTTAAACTTAACTCGATTGAAGCCTTAAACTCAAACTCGAACCTTAAATACATGAAAATCTTACAGTATTTTTTTTTAAAAATCAATACATAAATATTAATATTATTAATAATTATTTAAAAAAAATAAAATCGTAATATATTATGTTTTCGAGCTGCTCAAGAGCTTTTTGAGTCGAATATCAAGTAGCTCGTTTCGGCTCATTAAGAACTCGAGTCGATCTCCAGCTCGAGTCGAGTCCATTCGATCTGAATATTTATCAAATTGATCTCAAGTAACTCACGATTTGTCTCGTATCATGCCCTGTTTATACGTTGTTTTTCATCCACTCTAAAACGATGGTAGGAACAAGGGTGCGCTGTGATGTCGGCTCAGGTCAGATCTGCTGCATCCGGGTAGTGACCCTAATGGACCATGGTGCGTTGTGGTCGGCCCTGAAGGCTAAGAAGAATTGGATCCACAGTGCTGATGCGGGTCCCGATGAGCCACCAATGGCAGCTATGTGTCATAGGAGGCATTAGCATTTTCCATAGATAAATTTGTATTGGTTTTTGGCCATGAAGATTTTTAAAATAGTACGTTGTTTGTTTATTTCTGAATGATTAAATATTGAATGATTCAGAGGCTTTGTATGAATAAGCTCTAAATATGATATGTTATTTGATAATGGCTCTGAATCATTCAGAATATATTTTTGTGTTGAATCATTCAGCACTGTTTTGCTGAATCAGTCAGTACTGAATCATTCAGAGGTGAGAAACAAACACGTTGAATACTGAACGATTCAGCATTCAACGTTAAATGATTTCATTCAGAGCCAAACAAACAGCCCCTAAGACCTAAGCTAAAAAAAAGTTCCTTACATCTTACTTGATTTGAAAGTTGGTGGATGCTGATTCTATTATTTCATTTCAAATCTTTAAAGAGTCTCCATTCCCGTCTTTTAAATGAAAAAATAATAATAATCGTGATAATTTAATATAATAATTTAACAATTCGTTATTGATTGAATTTGCACTAATTATTATAAATCGTCAATATATAAAATATGCTCGTGTTTTTAAGATGGAATCAAGAATGAATCGATTTGGATATAATCCGATGATGTTGTTGCTATTTGACAAAGAATGGGAAATTGGCTTCTTATGCTTGATTGTGAAACAATATTCTTTAACCCCAAATATATAATTTTATTATGGACCCCTTTTGGCATATTGACTTAGTTGCTGATGACGCTACTGATATGCTCGGGAAGATTACAACAATAAAATCATATTCTCATATGCAATAGAGTAAGGGGAGATAGGGTAGTAGGCTGCCCCCAACGTCAGGTTGAGAGTAGCTTCCGTAGAAGACCTCCGACAGTCAAAAAATTAAAAATATAGATAAAATGCAATGCATGTATAAATAAAATAAATACATAGTTAAACAGAATAAAATAAATACATAGTTAAACAGTCTTCATATGCAGTCATCATATGCACGTCTGTAATGGAAAGTAATAATCATTTGATCTGTAAATTTACACTGTTTCTACTGAATACATATATTGTCATTTGAAGATATGTACTTGTAATAATCATAGTAGAATTTAAACTATTAATTAAACGTCACATCCGAAGACATATTATCATAACGTTTATGCGGGTATTTGACAATTTATTATTTTTGCCTTAACAGAGATAATTGTTTGTACTGTTATTTACTTTGAAAACTTAACATGATTGTGTTCAATTAATCCACCACTGTGCCAGTGATTATAAGAGGGAGGCACTTGGATCTTTCGTGTATACTTCCGGCCGGGAGGGGGGTCCATACAAAATTTTAGGGGCACTCAGTCCAAATTGCTGAGATCAACCACAATCATTTAAGCAATAATAAAGAAGATAAATAATGAGAGCAATATCTTTGTGGGGAAAGTGGGTGACAGTATTGGGATGCCAAGAATATATTGTGGCTCTCCATTCATTTCGTGATCAATAGTTTTGTCATTTGATCTCATCGTGTCTTCATATCCATGATTAAACTCAATGAGCAAAATTATAGACCAGGCCAGGGGTCGATTCATAAGCTGTACCAATGACCAGATGGTCAGCAATTAATTAGATTAGTTGAAAAGAACCAAATGGTCAGGTGTTTTGTTCAAATTGAAAAATATATATTCACCACACAATATGTCCATGCCAAAGTATCTGTTCGCATGCATGGTTTTAAAAGAGTCAATGACATGTGAACAGTTGAGTGCGAAGACCATATTCACCTTCAAAAGTCAAACAACATTTGCTATGATCAAATGAGTTTCCGGCCACGGGCAAGTTTTGAAAGCGATTTAATGAGCCCAACCTACGCATCACCAGGAAGAATAATGACTCAGTGTGGACATTAAATGAACAAAATTTAGTTGAGTGACTCACAGGAAAGAGGTTCACCCGTGAAATCTAGTTGGACCAACCCTTGCAGCAGCCACCAACTCATCATTCTGACGAGGATTTCGCATTTACTAGCATTTATTGACGTCATAGTCGCCATTGAGTTATTCACAGGTTACAGGTAAGATATTTGATGAGTCGGGTATATTGCAGTATTAGCCATTATATTAACCTCACTTTCTTCATTGCTTTTCGGTTTTAGCTTCAACTACGATGATAGTGGGTGGCACATAATTGAGGAAGCCATGGGGTCGTTGTCCTGATGAAAGTACCCCAACAACATAAATTATCGTAATGGGCGTCCCCTTCCATTTCCTATCTGTCATGTCCGTACCAATTATTTGGCAGTATTCAGTCTCTCTCTCTGCATCATTTGGCATGATTAAACTTTGAACCAAATATCAAGCATGGATAATAAAATTCAAATATATACCTTATTGATTCAATTAGATCTTTCTTAAATGGATGCGCATAATAAATTCGATGATTAAGATTAAATCACATAAAAAATATAAATATAATCAGTATCCATTAAAATGAATGTTTTTAATATATATATAACATAAAATAAAGGTAGTTCTCAACTCCATCCACTACATTATTTACTTCAACTCGATATTATAGCTTTTAGTGATTCATTGGTTATAGATGAGCTATTTATAGTTCAATATGAATAACATAAGTGAAAAATAAGATAGAAAAAAAAGGTAAAGTGTCCGAATAAGATAGTAAAAAAAGGTAAAGTATCCAAATGGTCCCCGACTATAGGGTGTTGCTTTGTTGAGTACCTCAACTATTAAAAGTTACAAAATAATCTCCAACTATAGAGTGTTGCTTTGTTGAATGCCCTGATTATAAAAAACTACAAAATGGCCAATTGGCTATTTATATGTTTCAAACTTGTATTTTTCCATTAAAAATTTGACGACTTTTTGAGTTAGATGTTAACTTGTTGATTGAGATATGATAAAATCTGATCTCATTATCGTTTAAAGTGTATTTTATAGATCAAGTATCCGTTTATATTATGTTGTCGAGTTGGTGCTTATTATGTCATCAAACCAGTGCTTAAAAATAATAATGGTGTAAGTAGACATCATTAAAATATAATTTTACCATATCTCAGTTAGAATGTTAACGTACAGCTCAAACGATTATCAAATTTTTAATAGAAAATGACGAATTCGAAACATATGAATAGTCGAGTGATTATTTTATAACTTTTAATAGTTGGGGCTCAACAAAATAATACACTATAATTAAGAGATCATTTCATAATTTTTAATAATCGGATGACTCAATAAAATAACACTCTATAATTGATGCAAACTTTAAAAAAAATTATACATCTAGTAAGTATCTGGTCAGCAATAAACTAATGCACATAAAAACCACTTCAATAAACTAATGCAGAAAATTATATATATTGGAGTTTGTGGGGTCTGATCAGCATTAAGTTCCCACAAATTAAGCAAATGTAAATCTAGTAGTATACAATACCATATTAAACTTGGTAAGATAACACTGGATAGAATTGAAGGTACTAAAAAGCAACAAACCGGGGACTGATCAGGTGGAAGATGAGTCAGGATGGGACCCAAGAAATAATCGAGGATAAAGAGGAATTTGGAGTTTTTGGAGTTACCGATGACAAAATAAAATATTTTCCAATGAATTTTGTCTTAATTTGATTTAATAGAATGTTTTTTCTTAAATTGATTTTTAAATGGATATTTTGATTTTATTTTTTAATATTTTGAAGTGATTATAAGATAATATATATTTATAATTTTTTTAATTATGAATAATGTATAAATATCTTACAAATGTAACCTTTCGAATCAATAACTTCAAAAGATAACATTACTTCTTTTAATCACCGAATCTTATCAACAAATTCACTAATTGTAACTTAGTTCTCTGTACATTGTTATAAATAAACAAACCTGCGATATATTTATTCATTCTTTTGATTATAAAAAAGAAGTGCATTATTCAATTTCTCTCTTTCAATTGCGATGACCCAAATTCATAAGGTGCACTTTGAAATAGTTGAAGATCCCACGAAGGTAGAGTAGTTCCATTCAATAACACCACCATGGAGCACTTTATGCTATTGCCTGCCACCTAGGTCCCATTGCTCTCGGACTTTGGCGCATTGTTGGACCAAAATGAAAACATAGCTAAGCATCCAACAAATATACCGTACAGTGACAAAGCCACCGCACTTGGGTACCTTCATTAATCGTGAC